GAGGAGTCTGTTAATGGGTTGACCATAAGTATGATATTGGAGTCTGTTAATGGGTTGACAATAAGTATGATATTGGAGTCTGTTAATGAGTTGACCATAAGTATGATATTGGAGTCTGTTAATGGGTTGACAATAGATATGATTTTGGAGTCTGGTAATGGGGTGATTATAGGTATGATATTGGAGTCTGTTAATGGGTGGACCATAAGAATGATATTGGAGTCTGTTAATGGGTTGACCATAAGTATGGTATTGGAGTCGGGTAATGGGTTGACCATAAGTATGATATCGGAGTTTGTTAATGGGTTGATCATTAGTATGATATTGGAGTCTGTTAATGGGTTGACCATAAGTATGATATTGGAGTCTGGTAATGGGTTGACTATAGGTATGATATTGGAGTCTGTTAATGGGTTGACCATAAGTATGATATTGGAGTCTGGTAATGGGTTGACTATAGGTATGATATTGGAGTCTGTTAATGGGTTGACCATAAGTATGATATTGGAGTCTGGTAATGGGTTGACTATAGGTATGATATTGGAGTCTGTTAATGGGTTGACCATAAGTATGATATTGGAGTCTGGTAATGGGTTGACTATAGGTATGATATTGGAGTCTGTTAATGGGTTGACCATAAGTATGATATTGGAGTCTGGTAATGGGTTGATCATTAGTATGATATTGGAGTCTGGCAATGGGTTGACAATAAGTATGATATTGGAGTCTGTTAATGGGTTGACCAAAAGTATGATATTGGAGTAGGGTAATGGGTTGACAATAAGTATGATATTGGAGTCTGTTAATGGGTTGACCATAAGTATGATATTGGAGTCTGGTAATGGGGTGACTATAGGTATGATATTGGAGTCTGTTAATTGGTTGACCATAAGTATGATATTGGAGTCTGGCAATGGGTTGACAATAAGTATGATATTGGAGGCTGTTAATGGGTTGACCATAAGTATGATATTGGAGTCGGGTAATGGGGTGACTATAGGTATGATATTGGAGTCTGTTAATGGGTTGACCATAAGTATGATATTGGAGTCGGGTAATGGGGTGACTATAGGTATGATATAGGAGTCGGGTAATGGGTTGACAATAAGTATGATATTGTAAGTAAATATCAAGATATGATGCAAGAGAATAAGACGCTTATTTAGACGGAATTGATGAAATGCAATTGGTTCTTTAAGTCTTATTATCAAAAGAACACATCACCACCGTTAAAGCGAATCTGAACTTGAAATTAATACTGGTTATCTCTCCTTTATCTTAATAAGCCTGGTATCAATTCTACTTCTTATGAATACAATAACATCCCTGCAAGGACTGGTACACAATTTGTCCCCATTAATTATCAATGGTCGGTTGAAATATTTATTTACCAGTTTAAAATTAAATGTTGTCGTCTAACGAAATCATGGACAATTTCCTGTTATAGGTATGGTGGCTTTGTAGTATTGAATACATTGTTAGGACCAAAATGACATTCCTACTGCGAGTAGAACCGGTGAATACAAACATATCGTGTTTCAAATCCTCAAGTTCTTAACCTCTCACGTCTGACAGGCGCCTGGTTATGTTGTTATCTCAAAGGAAAATGATCCCATTTCTTTATTATTATTATTATTATTATTATTAAAAGGAAATAGATAAATAAACAAGAATACATACGTGGTACGCAGGTTGTGACATTGAAATCCCGCGTTGGTGAACAAACACAATCGTGGTTTTCCTCTGTAGATGAGCAAGTTAAATAAAATTTCCCCGCATTTGATGATTTTGATGGTGTTAATATGAGGGGTCCGTTACAATCGAATTCTCCGTTATTACCTAAAGAAAAATAGAATAAAACAGGAAAACATAGATTTTCATGTTCTATAATCATTATCATTATACTAATTATTTGCCTTGAAATGTTCTAGCTTATGTCATGATTTTCCCCATAGATTTGTAAACATTTGAAGCGTGAAGGTGGTGAATTTAATGATATCTAGAAAGCTGATCTGGTTTGGCATTTAATAAGAAAACAAATTTGTTTACTTACGGCTAAGACAAGACATCTTTTACCAGGGAGTTGAAATCTGAAAAATCAATGAATGTAAGTATATCTATTTTATTAATATATTTTGGTATGTAATATACGTTAACAAAATATTTTTCACGCACGCATTAGGGATAAAACATTATTTTGTTTTTATATTGAACAAGCTATTTTTTGTTTAAGCAATGCTCAGCCGAGGTATAAAGAATATATATTTCGATGATAAGATAGATCAGCACTATTTATCTCTCTTATCACTGAGCCAATAACTTTAAAATTTCAATTATGGAAATGGATATTACCTTTAACTCAGTAAAAAGGTTTCCGCAATATTATGAAGGTAGGAAAATACTTCCCAAGAAATCATCTTCCGCTAATGGGATGAAATCATTTCACATTACGATTAGGATATATATATATATATATATTTCACTTATAACGTTACAAATTGACAATTCTTAGATACATATGATTCGATATTAAACTCGAATTTCATGAATGCCGTGTAAGAATAAATCCCAGCAACAATGTTACAGCTGACCATGATGGTTAATAATCCACAATTAGTGTTAACAACCTTGTGACGTGATCAATCTTTAGTGGGGAATGAGTTAAGCTACAATGTTACAGCTTACCATGATGGTTAATAATCCACAACCAGTGTTAACAACCTTGTGACGTGATCAATCACTAGTAGGGAATGAGTTAAGCTGCCCTGTTACACCTTATAATGATGCTTAATAATCCACAACCAGTGTTAACAACCTTGTGACGTGATCAATCACTAGTGGGGAATGAGTTAAGCTGCCTTGTTACAGCTTACCATGAGGATTAGTAATCCACAATCAGTGTAAACAACCTTGTGACGTGATCAATCACTAGTGTGGAATGAGTTTAGCTACAATGTTACAGCTTACCATGATGATTGATAATCCACAGCCAGTGTTAACAACCTGATGACGTGATCAATCACTAGTAGGGAATGAGTTAAGCTACAATGGTACAGCTTACCATGATGATTAATAATCCACAACCAGTGTTAATAACCTTGTGACGTGATCGAGCGCTAGAGGGGAATGAGTTAAGCTACAATGTTACAGATTACCATGAGGATTAATTATCCACAAACAGTGTTAACAACCTGATGACGTGATCAATCACTAGTGGGGAATGAGTTTAGCTACAATGTTACAGCTTACCATGATGATTAATTATCCACAAACAGTGTTAACAACCTTGTTACGTGATCAATCACTAGCGGGGAATGAGGTAAGCTGCCTTGTTACAGCTTATCATGAGGATTAATTATCCACAAACAGTGTTAACAACCTGATGACGTGATCAATCACTATTGGGGAATGAGTTTACCTACAATGTTACAGCTTACCATGATGATTAATAATCCACAAACAGTGTTAACAACCTTGTGACGTGATCAATCACTAGCGGGGGATGAGGTAAGCTGCCTTGTTACAGCTTACCATGAGGATTAATAATCCACAACTAGTGTTAACAACCTTGTGACGTGATCAATCACTAGTGGGGAATGAGTTAAGCTACAATGGTACAGCTTACCATGAGGATTAATAATTCACAATCAGTGTAAACAACCTTGTGACGTGATCAATCACTAGTGGGGAATGAGTTAAGCTACAATGGTACAGCCTACCATGAGGATTAATAATTCACAATCAGCGTAAACAACCTTGTGACGTGATCAATCACTAGTGGGGAATGAGTTAAGCTACAATGTTACAGCTAACCATGAGGATTAATCATCCACAATCAGTTTAAATAACCTGGTGACGTGATCAATCATTAGTGGGGAATGAGTTAAGCTGCCTTGTTACAGCTTACCCTGAGGATTAAATATCCACAGCCAGTGTAAATAAACTGGTGTCGTGATCAATCGTTAGTGGGGAATGAGATAAGCTGCCTTGTTACAGCTTTTTATGAAGATTAATAATCCACACCCAGTGTTAACAACCTTATGACGTGATCAATCACTAGTGGGGAATGAGTTAAGCTACATTGTTACAGCTTACCATGAGGTTTAATCATCCACAACCAGTGTAAATAACCAGGTGACATGATCAATCACTAGTGGGGAATGAGTTAAGCTACAATGTTACAGCTTACCATGATGGTTAATAATCCACAAACAGTGTTAACAACCCTGTGACGTGATCAATCACTAGTGGGGAATGAGTTAAGCTGTCCTGTTAAGGGGAAGTAATCCAAATATAGTACAAAGCAGTAGCTAACAAATTGTCGTGACCGAAATACAAATCGTTGGGTGATATATAGTATACATATTCAGAGGTCGGGGTTGGGGTGAGAGGTATGAATGTTACTACTGACAAAAACAGTCCTGAACCAGAAATATATGAAATATAGAAAGGATGTATTCCATATTGTTAAAGGTATGGTATAAACCGAACTTTGGAGTAAGT